TAAGATATGCACTTACAATTGAATGTTTGCTTACAGTTCTCTAATGTCACGCCCCAAAACCGAGGAGCGCGACCGGCGCTCAACCGAGTGAACCCGACCGAGCAAGCCTGTTAGATTTCCTTCTACCCAAACTCATCCACAAATGGAGATAATACATATTTTCATTAATTAGACAAAAAGGTGTTCACGTCTACAATACCAATTCATTTCCAATAGTTTCATCATTTTTAAAGTTTCACAAATGGACAAGTAATACAACCACAACATAATATATCTTGACTTACCCAGCACCAATACACAACCCACACTATGTCTACGGAGCCTCTATAGATAAAGAAGAGTACAATGATAATGCCGGCAACAAGGCCCCGGCTATACCTCAAACAAAATACACGAAGTACAAAAGATTCATGACCCCGGGATGAAGTGGGGCTTACCAAGTCAGCTGGGAAGAATGTGTATTGCTATCACTGATTAATATCTCCTGCCGTGGAACCACCTGCAGCGCCCCCGGCAAAAGGACGTTAGTACTGTCGAATAGCACTAGTATGTATAACTAAACACCCTCTCAATAGAATGATAAATAATACAAACAAGATTATCATAATATCAATGAAAGCCTTAATCAACATCAAACCTCAATTTAGGATCAAGACAATGTTCAAATTAATTTCCATATCTCACATTGAGAGATTTTTAGTATCGATATACCATTGTCCACAATACTATTATTCACAATACCATTATTCACAAAATCAGTACCACCGTACTCTCAGCACGTAGTCCGATCACGACCCGATCGGCTAGGCTATCCATTAGGGACATCGACCAAAATCACAATTTCAATTACAATTTCCAGCACAATCACCACCATTTGTGCGGCATAATGTCCGATCACGACCCGATCGGCTAGGCTATCCATTAGGGACATCGACCAAAATCACAATTTCAATTACAATTTCCAGCACAATCACCACCATTTGTGCGGCATAATGTCCGATCACGACCCGACCGACTAGGCTGTCTTATTCGAGACATCAACCTTTTTATATCAATCATCGCATTTCATATTACTTTCACATTTTTTCATTTCATTGGCACTAATGGCCATAATTATAAGATCATTCTTGGCACGTTGGCCATATTCAGTATTTTATGCTCACCCTTTTCAATTTCAAATGTCGTCGTCATCATCAACAACAAATACAATTCAAATCAAGGTGTGTAGCACACATGTGAGCAATTTAGAGTCTAAGGCACATAGAGATATTTCACAAAATTTGGCATAATAGCCTTCGTTTGAACTTGACTTGAAGTCGAAACATTATTAATGCACAACCCATATTTTAACACACCCTCAATTGATAACATAACATGAATAAAGCATTTGGGATATAAGAGAACAGTTTAGCCAACATACGTCACTTGAGCTTCCTTACACTCTAAATGTTCCGGAATTCTTAGCAACTTCAATCTATTGTAGAAATATAACAAATTGAATCAAAATTAGGAAGATGCTCATGGTTCTAGCTCATTTGAGCATTTTATCAAACACTAGGTGTGCATTAAGGTTTCAAGGTCCTTTTATGGAGGATTCCATCATCCCACAACCCAATCTTTACCATTTTTAGCTCAAAACTCTTCTTACACCCTTTGATAACACATGCATGTAAAATAAACAACTCTCATGCCCAAAAATTATCTTGCTAATTACCCATTTCTAGATAAAATTCGAAATTGAGGGTTAGGGTGCTGAATCTTACCTCTAGGATGAAGACCTAGTGAGTTTCCCTTCTTAATCTTCCAAAACTTGAGCAAGAATTGAACACCTTCTCACTCTAGGGCACTCTCTCTCACTCTAAAATGTCAGATTATAGCTCAAAAATGGTCCAAAACGTGTATTTAACGAAGTAGGGTCGGGTTTTAAAAACCCTAAAATGAAGATCCGGAACAGGTTCTGCGGTCGCATATGCGACCGCATAATAGTTATGCGGACCGCATATCGGTCGCATAATTGCTGACCAAAACGACCAAAAATCTGTTTGTGTCTGCGGTCACTATGCGGTCCGCATAACTGTTCTGCGGTCGCATAGTGCACCGCATAACAATTATGCGGTCGCATAGTTGACCGCATAATTGCTTCCAACTGGCCCAATTAACTGCCTCACTGTGCGGCCATTATGCGGTCCGCAGAGTGATTGTGCGGTCGCATAATGGACCGCAGAAACGTATTTCATTCCCAAACATTTTCCTTTACTCTCTGGTGCATTGTTCAACCCAAAAAGTCTGAGCCGCGACTCGCAAGCTCGCCGCGAAGAATTTCTACAATCCTCAAACACGTAAGCCTAGTCCGGCACCATGAAACATTATTTTCTTTGCAAATTTTACCGGGCTTTACACTTAAGTACTTCGAAATTTTTCCAGGGTGTTACATCTAATTTACCTGCTTGAAATATAAATCTGGTGTGTAGCTTCATGTTTTTTTACAGAACCGTTTCTTTTGTTTTTTCTTTTCGGTCACTTTTTGCAGACTACTTATGAAAACTTCAGGTATCGATATGATAAGAAGGAGAATCCCTATAATAGGGGGATGATTGAAAATATCAAAGAAGTTTTCTTGTCCAGGATCCCGCCTTCCTTAAATAATTTTCGAGTGATCGTTAAAGAAAATGACCTTGTAATGATTGAGCGACCAACTTCCAACTTTGTGGGAAATATCACTAGCTCAAAAGAGAAGATAGATATTGAGATGGGAACGATGTTTCCAGAGGATAGTGGACTTACACTTCCTGAAATTTTGCGGAATTTGGAATATGAGGAGATAGAGGATACTTTAAAAAGCAGGGAAGGAACAGGAGATACTTATTTTGATTCTGGTGATTATATACGAAGCATCTCCAGTTTAACGGAAAAAGTTGATATTGAGGATGGAGATAACTCTGCAGAAGATAAAGGAGTCGCACAGCCAGAAAATTCAGAGAATATGAATGGCAATAACATGAAGAAAATCTTCAAAAACAAGGATGACGACGGGAGAAATGATTATCATCCTTTTTGGTTTTCTCTTGAACAAGAAAAAGAAAGCGTAAAGAGCTCCACTCTAGGAAGTGGATCTAATGTAGAAGAGCACTCGGAAGAAGTAAATAGCTCGGCTCAGTATATGACACCAATAAATGAACCTAGCCCAAAGGTATCAATTTTTTTCATTTTCTTTCACTGTTTATTTTCTTTAAGCATATCCGTACTCTAGTTCTATGTAAAGACTAGGACCACATATATTGTTACTCTATTGAATGGTTGATAACACGAACCACAGTATGAATTAGATACACACACCAGGCACATGTGCAGTGTAGAACCAAGATTAAAGAGCCATTGCTTTGGCTTCATCGATGTTATACTTCAAGATGCATACTCAATCAGAAGGTTCAGGAACTGTAATGTGTTTGAGAGTGTTGGATCGATAATGTGATAATGTGTTTTAGTCTGTTGCTGGCGCTGTTCGTCTCTCTAAATGATCTATCACCCCCTTTAGTTATAAAAGATTAATGGTATTATTTGCTTTCCTCTTTCTTGATAAAGTTTTGGTTCTTCAACAGTAAAAATTGTCATCAGAGACTGCTGTAGTCTTTTGGATATTAATCAAAATGACATTACCATTTTTGTTTCAGGTCTAGCATACAGTACAAGGAACTCCCCCCTTGAGTCTTTTCCGTTTTACGTTGTGCACAAGCTGAGAAAATTTGCTCTCTTCAAGGATAGCATTTGGCAAGCTTGGGAATACTTGACCAAGATATGTGACTTGTCACATTTCATTGACAAGATCAGAAACGATTTGCAGAATTGTGTTTGAAATAATACAGGGTCTTGCTTGAGATGAGAGAGCAGATCCTGTTGGGGTTCAAAATTGTAGATAGATTGATGAGTAGCTCTTTTCTCTTAAATTGTTCATACTTTTGTCCAACTCCATGCAAAGTCTCCTTTTATTCTCTTAAAAACAGTGTGAATAGTTTGCAACAAGATGTGTAGCTATAGGGTTATGGAAAAATTGTTGGAGAACAAATAGATAGATGTGTGTAAATTTGATTTTGCAGCTTCTTATTCCACGTTTGTTTTCTATTGGAATGTTTTGAAATTTTTTTCCTTTTGGACCTTAGTCTCATGATAAATACCAAAGAAAGTTCCAATTGACTACTATTCATGGCATTTCCCTTTTCTTCTTGCTAGTTTGGCAAGATAAGAAGAAACAACAACTAAGGTAGGAAAGTTGCTACAAGTGGTGAAAGAAAAGCTATAAATTGTTAGTAACTTTCCTTCTTTATGTTATTGTTTTTTGGAGTGGCGTATCCAAGATTTAAACTCTATGGACTCAATATTAAGGTTTTTAGTATTGAATCAATTAAATTTTAAAAGTTATGAGTTCATATATATTATTCATTACAATTTTAATAAATTTTTATACATAAATATATGTCCCGGTGATATGTTCCCCCTGGGAGTACTAGATTACATCTGTCTCTTTTTCCAGCACAAATCGATTTGTTATTGTGTTTGGTACAGCTGAGATCAGAACATTATTAAATACTAATCAGTTAAACAAGATCCATTCATTTACATAAACTCTCTCAGACACACATAAATTACCAAACACAGGAGTGAGTAGTAACCAATCAAAAAGACCACACGAAAGAAACTCATAAAGATTAAATACAAATAGAAAATTTTTTCAACCAGTAGGAGCAGTGAATATCTTGAGAAATCTATTAAAGAAATAAAAGAAAAATCTTGAGAAATCTACATGGAGAAACATAGACCACAACTATTACTACTTTCCAATTGACACAAACATACAAAACTTACAAGGCTACCATGTAATCGAGCTGGCCCATCACAGATTGCCACGTGTCAAAAACCCACTTAATCCCCAAGATTTCATTGGATGAGATTAGATTCCATCACTGTCATCTAAATTCATATATTTCCCCTCCACCTCTCATTTCCCTTAGCTTCACTTCTTTCAAAGAACCACAGTTCCCTGCTCTGAAGTTATCGGGGGAAAAAATGGCAGCAGAAATGGCTTTACTAAAACCAATTACCAAGTTCAACACCTTTAACACCACCACTACTCCACGGCTGAGCAACCGCAGACTGCCGTTCACAGTGAGAATGTCAGCCACCACAACTCCACCAACTTCAAAACCAACCAAGAAAGCTCAGAAACAAGGAATTAAAGAGTCCCTTTTGACACCAAGATTTTACACAACTGATTTTGATGAAATGGAAACACTTTTCAACACTGAAATCAACAAGAACTTGAATGAAGCTGAGTTTGAGGCTCTCTTGCAGGAATTCAAGACTGATTATAATCAGACTCACTTTGTTAGGAACAAGGAGTTTAAAGAAGCTGCTGATAAAATTCAGGGACCTCTTAGGCAAATCTTTGTTGAATTCTTGGAGAGGTCTTGCACTGCTGAGTTCTCTGGTTTTCTTCTCTACAAGGAGCTTGGAAGGAGGCTCAAGGTATTTATTTCTTGTTTTCCTGTTTTTAGTGTTAATCATAGATATTATATGCAATTCTTGAGACTTTTTCTTTGGCTTGTTGTAGTTTGTGTTTTTATATTTGTGAAAATGTTAGTATAATTATTTGGTTCAAGTGGTTGAGCTTATCTAGGTTACTTTTTAGCTTCTGTTAAAGTGAAATTTGAATGTTTTCCAATTCTTTTTCTTTTTTCTTCTTTAGATTATAGTGCTTTGCAGCCATTGTTTGAAGAATAAGTTCTAAGTTATAGTTTGATTTCTAGAATGAAAAATCAAGTATTAGATGATTTGCTCATAGCATTCTCTCTAACACCTGTTTTTAGTGTTCAAGCTTCTGAAAAAAAGAAGAAGAAAAGCACATCTTCTGTTGCACATTGTTTGATATGTGACCAAGAAGGTTATAGTTGATTTCAGGCAGCTTACATCCTAGCTGTTTATGTTCATGTTCACTTATTATTATCATCTTTTTGCAACCATAAAAGAACACCCCAACCCCAACACATAAAACAAGAACAAAAGGTTTGTGCTTTTGCCTTCACTAGCAAAGTTTTACTTCTGTAATTCCGTGCTCAATCTTCAGAACGGAGACTTTAATCATGGTTAGAAAAAATAAAAAAAATTAGGTAGTTCGTTGCCAATATTGAATAGCTCCTCCTTCCCTCCCCTCCTATAACCAACTAATGCTTGAGTTATTTATGCAGAAAACTAATCCCGTCGTTGCAGAGATTTTCTCCCTCATGTCCAGGGATGAAGCTCGCCATGCTGGGTAAGCTCAAATATTACTCTCTCTTTGAGCATGGTTAATCAGAAAGGAAAATTACTTCAATCTATGAGTACTGAGAAGGTTTGGCTGTTGGGATTTTGCAGGTTTTTGAACAAGGGGTTATCTGATTTCAATTTGGCATTGGACTTGGGTTTTTTGACAAAAGCAAGAAAATACACTTTCTTCAAGCCAAAGTTCATCTTCTATGCAACTTACTTGTCTGAGAAAATTGGATACTGGAGGTACATTACCATATACAGGCATCTCAAGGCCAATCCTGAGTACACATGTTATCCAATCTTCAAATACTTTGAGAACTGGTGCCAGGATGAGAACCGCCACGGTGATTTCTTCTCTGCTTTGATGAAAGCACAGCCTCAGTTCCTCAATGACTGGAAGGCAAAGTTGTGGTCTCGCTTCTTCTGCCTTTCGGTAACCACCTGCATTTGAATATCCTTTCACTATGATTACCCAACTGAAAGGCTTTCACATTGCCTTCTATATAGAGATTATTTCACCTGTTTGACAATAATCTTACTTATATTTTGACTACCAAAATGCAGGTTTATGTCACAATGTACTTGAATGACTGCCAAAGAACAGATTTCTATGAAGGCATTGGGCTTGACACCAAAGAATTTGACATGCATGTCATCATTGAGGTGATCACTGGGCCGTATCTTACTCTTTCTTTATCGTTGCTTGATTAGCATGCTGTAGATTATGCAATTCTATATGTTCTATTCTTCATTACTCTTGGGCTAGAAAACTTTGGGATGCTATTTCAGTCACACTTCATTATAACAAAATTGAATGAGACTTCCATTTTTATTAGCCCACCTAGCATCTTAAGTGCTATATTACTATGTGGTTAGTGTCAGAAGTGTGAGGTTCTCTTAATGAACAGATGCTCCTACAGAAAACAAGATTTTTGAAAATCCCTTTTCAGTTTTCACCTCATGGAAGAGAACTATATCTTTCGGCTGTTACTACCCCGAATTATCCACATATTATTTAATTTTGCCCATTTGTATATTTACCTTGTCCACATTATGTAGTACCTGCTGTTGGTACCTCAGTTTACCTTGTAAGTTGTTGCATGCAATTAACTTGTTAAACTGTTCTTTCTAACGTTATCTTTTTTTCTTTTTGGTCGTGAGCGTAGCATATTCACTAACCTAGCATATCTTGTGCAGACAAACCGAACAACAGCAAGGATTTTCCCTGCTGTTCTTGACGTTGAGAACCCAGAATTCAAGAGGAAGTTGGACAGGATGGTGGAGATTAACCAAAAACTACTTGCTGTTGGGGAGACTGATGACATTCCACTTGTGAAGAATTTCAAGAGGATCCCTCTGATTGCAGCTCTGGCTTCTGAGTTATTGGCCGCATATCTCATGAAACCCATTGAGTCAGGTTCAGTTGATTTTGCAGAGTTTGAACCACAACTCGTCTACTAATTTCCTTTTCCCTCGTGACCTTGTGAAAAAACAGAGATCAGTTCTTTTCACATAGAGGTGCATGTTCATTGTTGTAAGTTATATAGCGTATTCAAGAAACACTCTCCTGCGTAGAGGACACCCCCTTGTATTATCTTGATAACCTAGAATGAATTTCTTGTGAGTACATCATTATGTTTTCATCTCGACTGTTCTCAGTTATTAGTCGCTTCAATTGACAATGGTTTCTTGTTGCTCATACTCCAGGGAGAGAAAGGGGCACGTACTTACAAATCCTATGAGCCCCACATTCAAGTTCTCCTTTAGATTTATATACTGTTTTGTGCAAAAAGAAATGGAAGACTTGAACATAAAGATCTGCAGATAAATTATATACACAACACAAAATTTAGTCTAGCACGTATGCAACACCTAACCATGAAGAGATTTGCAGCTGTAAAGCTAACACATGCTAATTCCATCATAAACTTCCCGATAACTAAGCACATACTTCTATTTCTTAGACAAACAAGAGTGGTGGAATTTCAGAATTTGCAGGTTATAGAAGCTCTTCTATTGATTATACAGATTTACAGACTGAAATTTAGTTACCTATTTCCTATGCGAATTGCAAGGCCAGACTCATCAGCAGTGCAGCCATTCATGAACCTTTTAATACTCCTGCAAATGCCATCTTTATCAACAACATGTTGAGAGAAATGGGATTTCTGTCAATACCCTTGGTGAGCCAAGCAGTTTACATGTTGACTAGCGAAAAACGCTTACAGATTTGTCACAGATAAGGCCTTCTGGCACCTTAGCTAGGAAAAGATTGTTGCATATACCCCCTCAAACTGACTTTTTTTTCCTTTCATCTTTTGCTTTTAGTCCTTTTGTGGAGGAACGAGCAATTTAAATGTCGAAAACGTCAATAAAATGGCCTCTAGGAGCAAGCCATAAACATGTATGTGTTCCTTGGTTATCTGATCCCCAAGAGTAAGCCCGCCTTGTACTTGCAAAATGTATATTAATCAACCATAATTAAGTTACAAAAGTTAATGTGCAAACACATTTTATGTATTTAATGGTTTGATGTAATCAACTCATGCGAGTAAGGTTTTCCATTCACTAGTCGTAGTGCATGTCCTAAGTGAGGAGATGCTGCAAGGATGAAGCTAACCCTCTCCATTGAAGCAAACACCTCAAAAGCAAGAAATTGGTGGGAAACTATGCTTAGAATCAAATGATTAAATAAAAATCAAATAACTAAATGATACTGACAATCAAGAAAATAAGGAAAGGAATGAGCCATATTGTCAATGTTCGACTTTGGTTGTGCTATAACTATACCTATATGGGTTCTCAAAATATTGCCATTATTTAGCTATGTTGAATGAAGATGGAGCACTGTATAGGGTAAAATATGTTTATATTAAATGATTGCATGAGGAAGTGACACGTGGAGCCGAACACAGAAAATAGTTGAATCCGAAGGCAACGATCCTATTTGTTACTGGAAAGAGAATGATACTCATAAAGATGAAATAAATGTCTGCCTCCCGATAGCATTTAATGAGGAATATTCTACAGCATTAAGTACACGGCCCGTTACAAGGAATATGACATTCATTGTCTATCGTTACACATTCTTCAATTGCCCTCATAATTGACATTAAAGAGGGGCTTGATCCTAGGACTTTGTTCCCTAGATGCAGCTATAAATAGTGAGCTCCATTATCATTGAAAACAACACGGATTTTTCTCACAAACATGCGCTACACTCTATTCAAAACTCAATATAATTTTATCTTCTTGTTTATTGATATCGTTGCTATTGTCCCCGGAAGCCCTCCTCCCGGAATTACAATTTCTGCTATTTTATCTCCATCTCAAGGCTAAGTATTATATTTTTGTCTTATTCATCTATTATTATAGGATCAAATTAATTCATTTGTCTATAAATCACGTATAATTTAAACTGTACCGTTTTACGAGTAAACGGGGCTTAGACATTTATATAATTAAGTTTGGTCCTTGCCTCTTTAACTAACGCATTTGATTATTTGTTCTTAGCAAAAAATCATAGAAAATGGCAGATAATGGTATTAACAACACACACAACCTTGAGGCCCGAGGAAATCAGCCTCAACACGAGGATTCAATCAGCGATACCCGCAGTGAGGGAACGAGGCCACATCGGTCCACGGAAGGCGGTACCCATGACATGTTCGAGAGGCGACTCTTGATGATGCTGAAGAAGATCACGTCATCGAAGCGGTAAGGGTGTTGGAGGAGCAACAACAGGCCATTTTAGGTTATCTCACACGGCAGGATAAGGTTATGATAGAACTGAAGCAGGCGTTATTGGGTGCTTCCAATAACGCGAATGAATGAGGTCCAGTTCCTCCTGGTGCTCCCGCAAATCAAACAACGCAAATAGTCGACAACAACACCCCGAGGGGCAAGGTCGGCTTCGATGGGATCGGGGGGAGCGTATCCGGTCATAACAACGAGAGTGATCCCTTCAAAAACGAACTCATACGGTTTATGAGGGAAGTGAATGCCCACATGGACCAAATTCCGGGTGCACCACCAATGCTGAAAGGGCCGGACTCAAAGAAGTACACTCAATTTCCGTACAAACCAAGCGTGGCACTAGAATTAATCCCGAAGCGGGTTTAAAATACCAGGCGTGCCGAAATATGATGGGACTTCAAATCCCGAGGAGCATATCACCACCTATACAATGGCGGTGAAGGGGAACGATTTAGCTCCCCACGAGATCGAGTCAGTTTTGCTGAAGAAATTCGGAGAGACTCTCACGAAGGGAGTCTTGACGTGGTATTCGCTTTTGCCCGAGCATTCCATAGACTCTTTCAAGATGCTCGCGGATTCTTTCATTAAGGCCCATGTTGGGGCCAGAAAAGTACAGGCCCGAAAGGGTCGATATATTTAGGATTGCACAAGGAGACTCCGAGTTGCTGCAGGAGTTTGTAACCAAGTTCCAGAAGGAAAGGATGTTGCTACCGGTTGTTCCGGATGAATGGGTGACTGGAGCATTCACCAAGGGTCTGAATCCGAGAAGTCTGATGCTTCCCAGAAGTTGAAAGAAAGTTTGCTCGAGTTCCAAGCAACAACTTGGGTAGATGTTCACAACCAGTACAAGTCAAGGATAAGGATTGAGGATGATCAACTCGATTTCCCAGTGTCGGTTAAGGGTCGGGACCGAGAGAAGAATAAAGAGAAATCAAAAGATGATTTCGACACAGATCGACGGTCTTCGAGGAGCCGGTTTTTTCCTTATGAATGGGCCGAAGGACGCAACAGAGGTTTCCGGTTGGCGGATAGGTTCATTACCAATAGAAGAACCGATCGCGGTCGGAACAACAAATCATTACAGGACAAGGAAACATCAGGTTCTCGAGATTCTTCCTACCTCAGACTTTTAAAATATAACATCAACGTCAGTATAGTAGAGTTGGTATCGGCTATGAGGAACATTAAAGAGGTACGGTTCCCAAATCCAATGAGATATGATCCCAGCCAAAGGAATCCTAACTTATGGTGCGAATACCACGAGACAAACGGTCATCGGACCGGGGACTGCCGGCATCTGTGCAAAAAGGTGGAGACACTGCTGAAAAATGGCCATCTCAGGGAATTTTTAAGTGACCGGGCTAAAAATAATTACGCTCGCAGTCGTGATAACATAGAGCCCTCAAAAGCAGGAGAAGATTCCTCGCGCCTGACAATTAACATTTTCAGGGGAAACAAGATTAACGGGGTTACATTCTCGGCGGCAAAAAAGACGAAGGTGTCAGTAACCCACAGCAAGAGGCTCCGGGAAGTCGCAGAAGACGACATCACTTTCACAAAGGAGGGACCAGATGTATTGTTGCTACCGAACAACGACGCATTGGTAATTTCTTTAAATATATTAGATTTTAAAATTAAACGTGTTCTGGTGGATCCAGAGAGTTCGGTCAATTTTATACAATGGAGAGTATTGGATCAAGTGATCACGTCCAAAGCATACCTCAATAGAGATGAAATGGTCGTATGCAGTAATAAATACCCAACTAGGAGTCGGGGTCGAATCCACTGGGAGCTAGGATGAGAGTTATGGGTATATATTTCAAATGAATAATTAGATTGCCTAGATTGCACCTCCACAGCAATGATTTGTTTCCTATTTCTACTGTTAATCTAATGATTGCAAGATAAAGAAAGTAGAGTAGAGATAATTGTTTTTAAGGTTTTTCCAAATGGGTAAAAGGCCTAGAGTTGTGACCATAACCTAGTTGTTTGGCTAATGGGATAAAAACGTTAATGCTTATTTTGTTGATTTGGGTGTATTATAGCTCTCAACTCTACATTACCCACTCAATACCTCTCGGTCAGAGAGTGATTTTGTCCAATTTGGCTTTCTCAAGACCAAATGGGAATCACCCGAAACAGTCGATAAGAGTTCAAGTCGGGTTATTACTATCTCTAGATTGAACCCTTTAATTGGGGTAATCAATCTCTCAATTGACCCAATTCCTTGTTAGTTAAGTTATCCTAGACTAGGTCCCTCTTTCTAAAGTAGAGACTAAGTCAAATAGGCATGAAATAATGTTTGCAACCATTAATTCTACGATTAAAGCATGAACTAAGCTAAATAATCAACACCCAATCATAAACAAGCACTAAATTAGATATCTGTAAGGTTTACACACTAGGGTTGGGTCACAACCCTAGTAAAAGTCTAGCTACTCATAATGGGATTTGAAGAAAATGAGGAAGAAAAACTAATTAAACTCATAATGGAAGTTTAAAATGATTTAATCTAATGTAAATACACCAAAGTAATGTGAAACTTCCTAAAGTAGTAAAGAAAAATGGCTACAACAACTTCAGATGTTCAAACTTAACATAATTTTGTGAAACTCGTCTATTTATACAAGGCTAAAAATTTCGGATAAAAATGCCCCTCGGGAGGTTCTGCGGCCTCATAATTCCATGTGCGGTCCGCAGATTTCTTCATATGGTAGGGAGTGGAGTCCTGCGGTCGCATATTTCTGAACTGCGGCTGCGAGGAAATCTTCTGCGGCCACACACTTCTGGACTGTGGCCGCAAGGTAACTCTTCTGCGGCCGCACAATTCTTGTGCGTTCCGCAATTCAAAGAGGCTCCTGGACTTGGTCTTTTTGCATACCCTCTCATC